ATGTAGGTACTTCGTTTTATAGACGTTGCAAACATTCTTCCAATTGCAAGTTTCGGGATCGTAATATCGAAAACCACAACATACACGTACAGTTTGTCGAATTACTGAGTAATCTCCTTAAAGAAAGTGATTACGAAGGCGAGAAGAAGGAAAAACCTTATGGTGTCAAAAACAATTTGGTACTGATTATGACGAACGTTATCAAAGGATAGGTACTTACTGTTAGTAATACTGATCTCGTAAAAATATAGTCGGTGTTTAAGGTAACTACAGTTTTCATTAATGTAATGGTCAATTCGACATGACAGTGATTAATGAATATGCCTTTATTAAATAAATTTTCCTTATTAAATATTCGTTTTTATATTTCATTTGTTGAGCTTCATCCATTTTATATTCTTGATCACCGCTCCTTCAAAAGTTCAATGAAAACGGGACACCCTGTATGTCAATTCATTTGATTTTCAACTAGCATTCAAAATAGAAATACTATATCATTCCATTTGGAGCGGTGTTATGAACAAAGACAGAATTGAAAAAACCAAAAAGATGATCGAAAAAGAGTTTTCTGCTGTATATTGTCTGTTCCTTGTAACGGCCTATTTTCTTTTAATTTACCTATAACGCCAGCTTCACAGCAAATATTAATGTTATATTTTACTACCATGCTCCAACAATTTGTGATAACTTATTGTATACAAATTTTTCATTGTGTCATTAAACCATGAATGCAAGAACAACGTGGAATCTAATGTGGAATTTACCTCTGCCGCAACAGGGAAACGGTTGAAGAAACTCAACTCGTTTACTATAGCACAGACGATGTGTTGGATATCCAATAATAAATATATTACATTTCGGTGACAATTTTCTGAATATGACAGTTTATAACCAGAGTTTAAAAGCTGACGTTAAGCGATGAGAGTTGAGAATTGTCTTCTTTTAATTTGTATGTACGAACAATTGGGACTATGCGTTGCAAGTATGATCGCTACTGGTTGCATGACAAGTGTATTAAGTCATTAATATACAGTAATGCAGATTAAGTCTCTCGTCCTTTTTAAATTCTGGCCAACTTAAGGGTACATTCTCATGTAAAATTTTCAAAAAATCCATTTTTTTGTTTTCACACAGGCTCGGACCAGTTTCCGACCGATCTACACAGCTCACAGCTCCCACTACATACTGGCTACCGTTATATAAAAATATATAAGAATATATATATATATATATAATAATAATATCTCGTCTGTGCTTGTAGCTCGCTATCTCTGCCGATCTCCTACCAATTAACGGTATAGTCCAAGCGCGCAAAGTCACCGACGCCACTGAAAACAGTGCATAAGTGGGGGTTCGGACGATGCAACGCCTCCTTAGATCCATCCCATGCGTGAAACGAGGTTAAGTTGGACAGAGTGTAATTCAACTCTCTAATATACATTCTGGAAACTAAGGCTAAAGGTGGAGGGGTTGACGATTCCTACGGAAATGTTTTTGAGTTTATACATTACCTATCTTGGTGGCTAACACTAAAGAATGCGTAACAGACACAATGTAACAAACCGTATGAATCAGGATAAACGGACCGGTATCTAACAGATAATATTATAACTTCGATATAATGGAAACTGCTGTTTATTTCTCTTAAACATGTGGGTACATATTATCCTGTCTAATGAAACCGCAGTAGCCATGACATTTTCAGGATACTGGAGGTATTACCGATTATTGGCCCGCTTTACATACAGACAGTCGCGCATGTTTGCTTTTTTCCCGCATTATCTCAAGAGAAAAGCCGCCAAAGCGTGGCAGCGGCACAGAAGTTCGCAAAAGACACAAAACACTCGGTTGTTTTCAATCACGTTCAGCCGTGGAATGTGTTCCCAGGGACGCCTTTAGGAGATTGCGGAGTAGCTGAAGAGGCGCTTCCTCTGCGGCATCGGATTTATTATAAACAGGAAACAGGAGGAACAGGGTTAGACAGGGCTATAGGTGAGCGGATGGAGAGAAAGAGGGGGGGGGGAGGCGAAGCAGTCGGAACGCAAGGGAGCGCTTCTGCCCGATGAAATGCGATGAGAGCGGTAATTAAAACGATGCGGTGAGCGGCTGCCGGTATGTGCTCCACGAGGGAGTTAATTACCTCCGCCTTCAATTATATCCGTCTCGCGTCACTCCAAGGGGACTTCGGCTTCTGCCGACCTAAGTACGCACTCGCGCGTCTGCGATACTCGCGATTCACTCGGAAACACGTGTATGCAAATACGCATGATACATACACGATAAGTTATGCGCCCATTGCGTTTTTCCGTCTATCAACGAGCCAACACATGTCATCGGTTAACTCGCGACCATAATTTCCTAACATATTCGTTGGCTCGCGCGAGACACTCACTTCACCTTGTGACTTCGAACTGGATTATTAGTATCTGTCAATCCAATCAGTTGATAGTCTACTACGTTTAAAAACTACAAAACTATCTGAAGCGTCTATTCTTATATGTTTTGACCGAATAACTATGAAACAATAACTACACTTTCAGGTTTATTAATGTAGGGTGTTTCTCTTTACTGTGAAATAGTGACTTTCAATACATTGCAATACAGGGCATACTTGAGTTAATTGAATCATAAGTGCAAAATACTGGAATCGAAAATGTCAAGATAGTTTTTATAATTATGAGATGTAGGGGAAAGGTGTGTAAAACGATCCCTTGGGGTAAAATGATTCCTGGCTGTCCTGTGATTATTAGTGGTGCTATATCGTAATGTCGTTCTACAATAGTTCTCTCTGTACGTCACTAGTCGTTGCTCGAAGTGCCATGCGCATATCAGTGCTCTGTGTGTTGTCCATAAGAAAAATGTCATAATGGTTTAATTATGACAGCTGCTTCTTGCGCGGATTTAACCACAATTCAATAATAAATTCTATAATGTTACATTACCGCATGTAATAAGTTGATGTTATATTCAAACGCTGAATGTGAGTTGGGTGTTTGGGGTCATATGATCCCTCTCTAGTAGGATAAAATGATCCCAGGAATCATTTTACCCATATGCTATATTATTGTTTAATAATTTTTATTATTAATGTTTTTGTTTTAGTTACAACCAGAGTTGGGCAGAATTTTATTCGAATAATACACAGTTAAAAGCAGCAGTATTTAAGGGTGCCGCGCGGACTTCAAACAGTTAATGAGATTAAATAATTGTTAGACAAATGTCGATTCATTCATAAAGAAGTATTATATTATTATAAAAATTGAAATTTCCATTATTAAACAATTACAAATGAGAAAATACATTTTTTTTATCTTTTATTCGTTATTCGAAACTTTTTATCTAGATAATGAATTTGCCCATCTCTAGAAGAACATCTAAGAAAAACAACGTGTCAAATTCTTTTTAATGTTCGTCGTATTTACTATCAATAGGTATAAAATGATCCTTAAGTATGCCTTCAAAGAAATGTGAATAAAAAATATAATTGATCACGTAGCTAAATTTTATTTAAGTCAATGATATGATAGATACTACCTACCTTACAAAAATTAGGGGAAAGGTGTCTAAAACTATCCCTTTATGGCGTAATTTATATAAAAAATACAAAGCCTCATTATTTAAATAAAAGTAAAGTAGTTTTTGTAAGTTAGTCTATTTATCTTATCATTGGCTTAAATAAAATTTAATCTATCAATTATATTTTTTATTCACGTTTTTTTGAAGGCATACTTAAGGATCATTTTGTAATGTATATGTATAAAATGATACCCGGGGATCATTTTGTACCTATTGGTACTGAATACGACGAACATTAAAAAGCATTTCAGTTATTACATTTTGTTTAAATAAAAACAGCTTTGACGCGTTATTTTTCTCTCATACTGATGGGGCATTGTAACCAGAGATGGGCAAACTTATCATCTAGATAAAAAGTTTCGAATAACGGATAAAACATAAACAAGTATTTCGTCATTTATAATTGTTTAAACGTGGAAATTTCAATTTTTATAATAAAATAATACTTCTTTATGAATGAATCGACATTTGTCGAACAATTATTTAATCTCATTAACTGTTTAAAGCTCAGAACGACACCTTTAGATACTGTTGCTTTTCGCTGTGTATTATTCGTATAAAATTCTGCCCAACTCTGGTTGTAACTAAAACAAAATACAATAACATTTTATCCTACTAGAGAGGAATCATAAGACCCCAAGCACCCAACTCACATTCAGTGATTGAATATAACATAAACTTATTACATGCTGTAACGAAACATTAATTAACTTATTATTGAATTGTGGTTAAATCCGCGCAAGAAGCAGCTGTCACATTAAACCGTTTATGACAAAAGTTACACACATTGAAAAAGACCTGATCTTAGATAAATTGCAGTAATTTTACATTTTTCTTGTGGACAACACACAGAGCACTAATATTCACATGGCACTTGGAGCAACAACTAGTAACGTGCGGGGAGAACTATTGTAGAACGACATTACGATATAGCACCAGTAATAACCACAGGGCAGCCAGGAATCATTTTACCCCGAGGGATCGTTTTAGACACCTTTCCCCTACCTACTGTATATTTTAAACGAACCAAGCTTTAATAAGTATTATGAATTCAGCTTCAAGCGTAATGAGAGCTGTTACAATGAATGGTTGAAATAACCTTTTAAATAAAGCCACGAAGAAATTTTTCTTAAATTGATGAACGTAATTTATATTGATAGACAATACTACATAAGTATGTGTATGTACTTATAATATAACCGAAGAGTGAAAAAGATATTTAGAGAATTATCATTTAATTATATTACAATATAATGGTCAATCATAAAATTCATTATAAACGTTCGTTATGACTCGGTGATATTTTTTTATGTACATCACGTACCAACAAAATCCTACAACTACAACGATAAATACATGTTCTTTTACAGGATTATAATGTGCTCAACATTGTGTATTAACTCTTTCCTTGTGTTTTGTTTCAGGTGTCATCTATCAATAGAGTACTGAGAAATTTGGCAGCACAAAAGGAGCAACGGCAGCAACAGCAACAGCAGCAACAAGGTGTGTCTACTGTTGGTGTCGGTGTCGGTGCTGGAAGTCCGGCCGAAAGTGTTTACGATAAGCTGAGGATACTTAATGGGCAAACAACAGGCTGGCCGAGGCCAAATCCGTGGTAAGTAAAACATACTTCTAATAATTATGATGAAATCCATGTTCCGGTTTGTTAAAGTTTTATATAGACACCAGAATACCTATTTATTAAATTTTACAGAGAAACGGAATTATTAACAGTAGCTATTCTAAAGACGATGTGTAAAAAGAATCATACATGGCTTTATAACCATGCTGTTTTGAATAGATCTAGTAAGTTTCCTTTTGTTCTTCAGGAGAAGATTATACATATAGATAGTTTTTCGTTATACCAAGAAATTATATATACAACATATATAAAGACACTAGAAAAATTTCCGTATTAACCGTTTGACTGCGGACGTCATTCAGATAACAAACTTTGATTCAGCAGTGACAAAATCGCAATGTGAGCTCTCGATTTATGTAAATTTGATCAAAAGTTTTCATTTTATTTTATTAAGATATTGTATATGTATTAAGAATTGATTTTTTTTTTAAATAACAAAAATTTACTACCATCTATGCACACGTACAAATCGACAAGAGGAAAGACAAGCATTTGTTACTCAAGAACATCCATTCGAACTTCAGAATGTGATTCATTGTAACATTTATGGGTTTCCTCGGTTATTTTTCAATAATAACATAATTTTTACGTTAATGTAGGAAAAACAGTAAAGGCAGTATAATGTATTGTATAATGAAACATAATGAAACATTTATTATACTCTGATTCTTGACCTGATTCAACCTGATTTTCTTGACTCCACGTCAATAATTGAGTCGTCAAGCAACAATAATAATCGACATTTTAAATAGAATAAGCAGTTTTAGTGAAATACACGAGGAGCACGGCCATGCTCGTGCGTAATCAAACGGTTAAACTTTCAAACAAGTTCCATACGTTTCTACATATAAGCATATTATGGATGTTTTATAGGATATTCTAACAGTTTAATAATCATGAGATTTAGAAGCAAATCAGCGGTATATGCAAGTGATGTTCAATTTCATGCGAAAAAAAGTATAATCTGTAATACATGTAATAATATATTTAAGGGTAGCCAAATGCATTTTACTCTTAATATGTTGTTAGCCGGTAATCATCACAGTTTTGGAATATTCTTCCCAATTTATCTTTCCAAACAACACTTATTTAAACAGCAACACAGTAACTTATTAGTATTCAACTTATTAAGCCTAAACTTGGTAAACGTGAGAATGATAGAAAGGAAATCAACGAACAATATGATTAACACATTGTGTACCATATTGGTATCGATGATAGAGGCCACAAAACGGAAGTAAATTTAATAATTATCACCAAAGTAGTAGAATAGGTACAATGACTAGATCACCAATGTGTATGCAAATTCACAATGTTAGACATTAATTTATAAATGCAAACATTAGATAGAAATTTATTTTCTGTACTAGATGTCTTATTATGTTGAAAGTGATATTTAAATGTCATTAATTTTTATTAGCCTCGGGCAGCGATGAGTGGGTCACTTTGACCCTTAGTTTTCAAGAACTTTATCCATTTCAACAGCTATCTATAAGTAATTTGAGTTAGTTATTCTTTATGTTAATTCAAATAAACAGAAAGTTTGGTCACAAAGAAATTTTTGCAAAAATGCATTTAGAAGGAATGATACATAAGGGTCTAAACGAATCCACGCCACCAATACGATTCGCCTTCCAAGAATTAAAGTCTGCATTTTCCTACAATTTGCATGTTAAAATTTCATATGGATGTACAAACATACACAGTCTAATAACAGCTATAAAGTTAGTACTCGGGTGTATTTATTCTGAATAATTAAATCTTAACGGTATTCACAGTGATTCATAGATTTGTTCAGGAAAGTGTGTCGCATTTCTTTGGCAAAGTTACGTACCAAACTGCGAATTTTAGTGCAAAAATTAGGAAATTTGATTACAAAATCATGATCAAATTAAGGATAATAAGGATACATAAACAGGAATTACATGCAAATTTTACACTTAATTGTCATTTCGAAAATGTTTGGATAAATATGTGATTCATTGTATTTTATCACGACGTTGCCATTATCATAACAGTAAAGACTTTCTGACACTTTACGAGCAGCTAATACTACGTCAAAACTGTAGGTATCCCTGTAAGAAAGGATATCTACAAAGAATTATCACTTAATCATAAGCGCGCACAATGAAATTAAAATTATATCATCTACACTTGAAAAAGTTATACCTATCTCCGTTTATAATTCGCATTATTAAAGCTTGTGTCACTGCTAAATGTTTTGTCGTACTATCGTGAAACAAATTTATATTAGGTATCCATCGGGAGCAGGCAGTCCATTTCCATCCCTGCAACCCAGCTTAAGCCCAAGCCACTGTACAACTTTGCCACCGGATCCTGCGGATATCTTGCACGCGAAGAAAGGTAGGGGAAACCTCTTACACCATTACAAATAATAGATAAATAAATACAAATTGCTCCTTGCAATCGACAACGTTGTACCGTCCATATCCATGCTTAAAGTTAAAACGCCTTAGTCACTTGACGACAGAAGCACATCAACACCTCTCATTTCAAAGACATAAAAATCTACATACTAATCTATTGAGTGCACGGACACGCAGAAAACCGACCCATGGTCGGTTTACATGAGCGTTTACATCTGGCAAAAGTGATGACCAGTGGTGAGAAATGGTGGTGGGCAAGTGGGTGGGAGTCGGTGGGATCGGAGAATAGGGGAAGTGGCACGTGGAGGCACGTTTTAATTAATTAATCTGCTGGTTGAAACGATACTAATATCAATGTAATTCCGTCGGTGGGTCCCGCGGTTTACCGCATGCGTGTGCAGCTTTTCCGGTAACAATTGTAACGTTTAAGCGAAACGAGAGAGACAGAGAGAAAGAGAGAGAGTGAGGAGGGAGAAGCACGGGTAGAGAAACGTGGTTGCAGTCGACCGTCCAACCCACACGAAATTGTACCTCGACCGACGGAATATTCTCTCTCCTGCTGGTTTGGTCCCCTCCTCCAACCCTTAGCCTCTCTTTCATCGTACGGCCATGCACGCGTTCCCTTTGGCGGTACATCAAACGCGCGATTTCTTTTGCCCTGGCGTTTTCCCGCCAGGGTGGCGGTCGGTGTCACGAGCAGCGAAAAGTAACCCCCATGTATGCGTGAAACTGTGTACGGGCGCGTTTTCGTGCTGTTTTTTTTTCTCCTTCGTATCTCGGGTTCCCTTGAATCTTAGACATTCCGGCGAGGAAATCTCCCAAAAGTGTGTGTCGGTTTGTGACGCGTGCTGAGGATCTTCAGCTCTTTCAACGAGTCGAGTCAGTAACTATCGACAATGGCAGGTGATGACCATTTAGATTAGACAGAGACAGGGACAGTTCTCAGCCAAGAACTGAGCTTAGCACGCGGCTGTTTCGTTTCTTTTTACTGATCCGGCGCGTTGAATGGATATGTAGTAGGTTACAAACGATGATTTGGATAATCGCGAAGGAAATATAGCGATTAGAAGAAATCAATATAAAGGTATTCATTCATGGATGTCCAGTAGTATCGACTGTAAACTGTTCTCCAACGGCTTAGATTCTGCATTTTGACTGTCTAGAATAAAACTGTCTATGACGATTAGTACCTACGTCATGTATAGGTTGACCATCAGGGTACTGGATCAAGATAAAAAATTAAATTAATTAAATTCTGATTAAGTAAGAGATCCTAAAAGGAGCCATTTAGTAGATGGTTAAGTTAAGTTTCGTATATGTGTACGTGGATTTATTATACGGAATTTACTTGTGTTAGAAAAAACGCAAATAAGTATAGTACGCAATAACGATATAATATAGTGTTTACATAGTAACAGACCCTTTGAATCAACAGGATTCAAGGAATAACTTCTCTTTTTTAATCAATTAGCGATTCACGATTCGGGAAGCCGGCAAATGTTATGCTAATTATGCAAATTAAGATACATCCTATACAAAAAGAACCTTAAATACATGTGTATACAATATCCTATACAATATTTCGAATACAAGATCTTTGTACACAGAATGTTGTATACATTTACACGGAGAATGGAAATAAAAAGAGATCGAAATACAATTTACCTTTCAAGAAAAGGAAAAATACTTAATTCTTTAATTCACATATTCGCCTATTTTTGAGGGTCTTTATTAATGACACTGAGTTCAGAAATGATTACCCGAGACAATCAAGGTTTAGTAAAATAACGCATTGATTAGAAAAAAAATGACGGTTTGAAGTATAAACGTTACTGTTATTCCTGGTATTAATTGCAAACCATTCACCACCACTCATGCATAAATATTTACCCTTGTGTTCAAGAAAATTAATTTTGTCGAATAATATCCGTTTCTGATCTCCTGTCATAGTCCGGTCGAATTTCATTGTCAAAATTGCGAAGTTGTAGTACCTAATAATACGATCTTTGCATTCGTCAGGTTGATTTTCAAAAGTACATCCTTCAGTCTAATGCAGAGATTTACTCAGTCTCTAACGCCAGATTCACACCAGTGCCCAAAGGCACAGTCAGATCACGATCCGTCTGAATTTAGACTAGGTATATCTCTGATTGGATTACGTGTGAGCGATAAATACTGCTGCCTGATTTGACGTGATCTGACCGTACAAGAAAATTCTTGACGTGCCATCCGTACAAGCATATGATGTATTATATGTCACGCGTACTAGCGATATCGAAATTGACTACCACTTTGGAATATTTACATTGAAATATTTCCTAAACTAATGATTTGTTTGACATAAATGGCTTCATAGTTTTTTTTATAGGGAATGACGAACTATATCAATTAAAGCATTAACAAATATTGTACGTAATGCTATTTAAAAAGAAACGAACAATTTTTCTTCATATAGCCTCTATACGTCCACCTGCAACAAAATTGCTCGCCTCAAATTCCTTCCCCTTTGAAACCATTGGAGTTTTATCTGAAACATTTTTCATGTTTCACATGAATCAAACAATACATCTATGAAACAATGATAGATTAGACTTTATAGAGTACAGTACCGTTTGGAATATTAAGACATCTGATCTGTGTACAGAAAATGTGATGTTTCGCAAAAATGATATATATATATATATATATATATATATATATATTTATTTTAAGCCAATTTTATTACTTCATAGTAGCATAATCGTTGTCCTTCAGGCTTTAATATCTCTTAAACAATATTTATTTCAGACTTTGATCAATTCCATAATGCCTTGTAACATTTACTGCTAAGTATACTCGATAGTCGAGGTGTCCCTATACCTATTATGAGCGGCAGTGTATACGATCTACAATATATTGTACAATAGAATAACATTCCAGAATATGAATAATGGTCGGTCATTTGTTTTTCCAGACTTAAATTTTTCTGAAGGTTTAGCAATTCATTGAAGCTGGGAGAGTTGCAAGGCATTGGTTGATCGGATCTCCCGACTTATACACGAAGTATTATTTTGTATTCCAGTAGAGTAGAAGGGGTACAATCAAATATGGTAACTGTTGCGAGCGTTCAACCACACGCAGGCCCCGGGGGCCGGATTATCTCCGCGTTGCTGCAGGGTTGCTGCCGTTTATAGGATAACCCGTGTCAGGAGGGTTGTTTTCCCCGTTTCTCTCTGTTCCGCCGGTTTCGCCGTTCCCTTCTAGAAAGCAGTTCGGGCTCGTTCGCTTGCTTGCTTGCTCGCTTGCTCGTCTTCGTCTTTCGAGATGTTCTCTGTCTCGTGCTTGCGATTTCGATAGCGACTGGTTCGAGAGACGGAAGACGCCTCCGGCCAATCAGAAACGACAACTGGCACCCCCTTTCGAAAAGCAAAGCGAAAGCAGATTACGGCGCAATCATCACACCAATTCTAGGTTTCTATCTGTCTGCAAGGAGCCCGTTTGAACCTACACCGTGAATCTGTTTAAGCAAATCGTCAATCATCTAACCTGACGCGTTACGTCGAAATTCGGGAGGACATTTTTTCAATTAAATTGCTTTCTTCGTGAACGTCTTGGCTCGATATGAAGATTTTAAAGGTCTCGATGGTCTAAACTATTTCTGTTTGCCTAAAATTTTCATAATTATAAAAAAAGGTTTGATTATTATTCTTACTAGCGAAAATTTCACATGTAATAAACGATCTGCGGCCGACCCTTGGTTTGGCCGCCCAGGTGTAGATGCAACTTTTGTACCTCCGCCAGGAACGGCCCTGATATCTGATTATAAAAATGAAACTAATTTGATCGCAACGAACTGCCATTATAAAAGCTAGACAAATTATACAAGCGACTGCGAGCAAATTTAATGAATTCGTAACACAATTATTGCGAAAAGAACAAAATCACAAATTAATGTCCCGATCGTGGTTGTGTTCGCCGTCACCATCTTCGCCATCGTCACACTCGCTGTCGACGTCGTCGGTATCAGTGGGGTGTCTGGTGAGATGGATCCACAATGCATCCGTGAGTTGCATTGTGCCGTTGCACGAGACGAGACGAGACGGGCCGAGAGGCGTGGAGAGAAAAGAAGAGGAGAGAGGAGGGGCCGAGACGAGACGGGACGGGATGGGACGGGATGGGACGGGATGGGACGAAACAGAACGGGACGCAGCGGTATGTAGAAGAATTCTATGAGAGGGTGACGAGAAAGGAGAGGACGCAGATAAAGGAAAAGGAGAGAGCGACGGCAGGAACGAACAAGAGAGACCAAGAAAGAAAGGAGACAAGGGTGCAAAGAGACTCCATACTGATCGAAACGAAAGGGTTTCGGGTCGTATGGCTATTGTTTTTTCACCTCTCGGGTCCCGTGCTACGGCGCTTAGACAGGGAACGACGGAGGAAGAAAAGAGAACGCGAGTCCTGAATGCCATCACGAAATCTCAATACATACCCCTGATATGGCGCTCACACGATCGCGTTCGTATCTTCATTAGAAAAAAAAATGGATTTTGCGAATCGATGGCGAATGATGCTTCTTACAAAATCTTTTGAACAGAAATTTTATGAAGATGTACTTATTAACTATCGATCTCGTTTGATGAGAAGAAATTTTGATCGATGAGGGAAATTACATTATTACGCGAAGAGATATGTATAGTAATGATTAATGAAGGGTCCAATCCTGTAATCTACTCATTAACATTCTGCTACACAAGTTTTTTTTTCGACGTGTATCCAATTACAAACTTTAGTAAATTGATTTTTCACTTTCGAAATACGTACCACTATTTAACAACGACGTAGAGGTAATTGTATCGGATGGAAGAGTAAACAAATTGAATTATTGAGATATAATGGCAAGGCGAAATATGGTTTACGTGATTTTTTAATTTTGATTCTAACTACTACTTTCTATGCGCGTAAACGAAGTTTTTTTCTAAAAGTCGAATATGTAAATTTTACCTACATAGTAAATTTTATTCTACTTTTAA